GGGGGGGGGATCCGCGGACAAGGATGCGGGAGCCGGCCATGCAAAAACATTTCGAAGTTTATTTAACAAACCGGGCAAAATTTAATCAAACACGACGAAATTCATTCAAGTTCTGGCATAATTTACATAAACGGCCTATATTTCGGCCGTTTTTACTGAAAACTAAAAAAACTGCTTGTACTGGACGACCACCTCGTACACGTGGCCGCCCTGCCCGACCGCAATGTCGTCGCTGTTCGTGCCGTCACCGTCATCCCTCCAGCTGTGGTAGGGCGCCGGTGGGCCGCGACAGCCTTGTCCGGCCGTAGCTTGCACTTGCGGAGGAGCCGCTCCACTTCCTCCTGCGCGGTCGGAGGGCCGCCGCAGACAATGCCGACGGCACCTGCGGAGCACAGGCGGCGGCCTTGCCCCTGCCAGCGTTGGCGAAGGAATCGCTAAGCAACCAGTCCTCACCGATCTTGGCAAGCTCGCCGTCAAGGCGGCGCTTGGCTGCAGTCTCCGCGGTGGTGATGGAGCGGTCGAGGGCCCAGGTGGCAGGGAGGTCTGGGTCGTTGCGGACCCATTGCGGCGCTGCGTCCAACTTAGCGAATGCGGAGCGTCGGGCGGCGTTGCGCTGCTCGCAGCGTGCCTGTTGCCTTGCCGCCCGCTCCTCCTCGGACCCGACAGCCCTCATGCCTTGGTGATCATGGGCGGCAGCTCGTCCTTGACAAACTGTCCGTGGCGGTTTTCGTGGGGCGGCGACACAGACCCGTCAATATGGGCGGGCCTAGCGGTTGTGTGCTGGCGGCGACGCTGGCTCCTCCTTCACGCGGTGCCTGACATGGACGCTGCGGTTGCGTGGCGGCTCCTCCTTGATGCAGCGTCCGATCTGGACGCAACCTCGGTTGCGCGCGGGTGGGGGGTGCGGTCTCCTCCTTCACTCGCCGGAGAGGGGACACCGGCTCCCTCTTCATGCGGTAGCGAGGTAGGGATGGCGGTTCCTCGACCGCACGCGGCTGCGAGGGTGGCACCGAGCCCATCTGACGGAGCGATGCTTCGTCATGAGCTCCATCTGACGGACGAATTCCTAGTCCGTCAGAGTTGCCTCCGCGAGGAGGCGTAGCTGCTGCTACGGCTGCTGCTCCTGCGGCGGCGCCTGGTCCTCCTCGTCGCCGAAGGAGATGATGATCTCGTCCTTGCCAGAGGAGTCGACCACTGTGGATGCCGAGGGGCCCCGAGAATGAGGGCGGCGGCGCCATGAGCCGCCTGACGAAGAACTGCTGCCGTCTCCGCCCGCCAGCGCGGAGAACCATGACTTCGACATCGCTGGAGTTGGAAATGCTCGGGAAGGAGGGGCTTGGATATGTGCATCGCCGAGGTACGACTTAAATAGCCGTGGCCAGGCCATGCGAAGGGCCGGTCAACCCGCTTCAATGCGGCGCAGCAACCGGAGTTGGTTTCTCGGGACGCGTCGTCTGCATTGAAGCGGCAACGCCCGAGATGTCGTGTCCGTCAGCGTTGCCCTCCCGTCCGGTCACGTTGCTCGGCATCAATACCGGCCGCTGCGTGCTCTGGACCGGCATGAATGCGGCGCGGGCGTTGGATGGAAAGCGCGGGAGAGACAGGATGTTTTTTTGGGTCGGCCACGACAATCAGATGTGGGCGTGGCAATGGTCCAGACGCCCGCAAAGCCCCCCCTTCCCCCAGTTTTGTTTCCGGTTTGCGGGAAAAAGCACGTCGGGAACGGTCGGCAGACTGATACAGGCCCGCGTTGGATGGCAAAACACGTCCGGACCACGCGGTCCGGACGGTTGCAGGCGGTTTGAGGGTCGGCGTTGGAGATGCCCTAACATATAAGCGAGTTACTTTCCTATTTTCCCATCAGATCCTTCATTGTCCCAGTTTATTTCCACCTTCTATTGCACAATAGCCTAATGCTCTTGTAACCAGATTCTGGTATTCCAGTCTATAATACTATATATAAAAGGCACCAGTTCACTAGACCATAATTTGATCTTTTCCATTATGAGACTTCAAATTATCATACTACCTCTGATCCATATTACTTGTCTTAGATTTGTCTAGATACGGATGTATCTAACACTAAAACTTGTCTAGATACATCCGTATCTAGACAAATCTAAGACCAATATGGATCGGAGGGAGTAGTTAGCACACAAAAAAGTAAAACATTGTGAACTTGCCTGAAGTCTGGACAATCAAACTTATCTCTGCCAATGTGTTATCCTAATGTTGCCTATGTTCCCTTTTTTTTTTGCCACCTTTCCTGTCTAGCTTTATCATAAATTTTGCAAGTCTGGAATTTTGTTCATGTGATGCATCAAAAGATGTAAATGATTGTAGCATTAAAAGTGTCAGCATCTATAAGGATGCCACAATTAGTTACAAATATCTTCATGCAATTTCTTTCCACAAGCAATGCGCAATTTACACCTAGATGTCAGATCAGCAGTTACAGATCTCAGTTGGTCAGATACTATGTCCATTTAAGGATTAATAAGCAACATTACAAATCAATTACTCCTTGCAGTAGTAGAACCTGATGAGATTGCAAAACATTATCGGACTTTCCCTTCTTACCTATTAAGTATGCTGTAGATTGCGATTTTGATAACAAAATACTGCATTGACTAAAAGGTGCAGTCGGCCAGTCACTAAGCAAAACCACACAAAGAAAATTGACTGCAAGATGGAGACAGATGTTACCTTGGATGGCTTGTATGTTCCTCGGCCCATTTGAATCAGAAGGTCTGTGTAACCTTTCTGCAGTAGTGCTTGTTTGAGTTCCTCAGAATCTACCACTTTGACAAGAGCATCGAAACATGTTGTCCCTACTGTGACAAACACCACTCGCCTTTCTCTATCTCCCATTCCTTCTGAAAAGTAAGCTCTGTAGAAAAACAAGTCAGTATCAAGGTTTTTTTGTTGTCAAATACAGTCAGAGTCACGACTATAGACTATAGTCGTGATCCAAAAAAAGGTGTGTCCTTTTATAACATTCTTATTTTCAGATCCCACTTGATCCAATAGCACGGAACAACTATCTTCAAAATAGATTCCTGCCACTGGGTCTCACCGAATCGAGACACGCATGGCTCCGCGTTCATAGTCACCGACTAGTAGGAGCAAGTCGCCTTCCATATGTGTGGCTCGAATCATAGAAGCAAGCCACAACCGCTACACCGGCAAGTGCGTAGTCGCAGCAATTAAGCACCAAGCCCCCAACTAATCGGCGACTCAATATCACTTGTTAACATTTAAAAGGGAAACTAAAGGAAACGGATACAGGATACTACCTCTGATTCAAAACGTAAGTTCTTTAAAATTTAATGCTAGTAAAATGTTTCTAAGTTTAAACATGTATAAACAAAGAATTGCAAGAATCCATAAAAAAACTTAATATTGTTAGATTTATCAATACATATACTTGCAATAATGTATAATCATTTTTATGTGTGAGAACATGTTTGCACATAAACTGATGATCAAAAAATAATAATCTTGAAGACTATGTCAAAGTGTCAATGTCCAAAAAAATTTACATATTACACCGGTGGGAGCTGACTTATGCTTGTACATGGGTTAAGGCACTGAGTTTCCAAGCAAAAGAAGACTATTTATCTATAGGAATGTAAAAAATACTTAACCAAGCAAAAATGTTTATTCCAGTTTATATCTCATCCAATGGTTATGTTCCACCTTTGCCTTCCATTTCTTCACATCTTGAACGACCCGCCAGCACACTTTTATGTGTGTCAATTCGTACAACACTTGCACATGCTCTTTCATCCAATTCATTGCATCTAATCCACAAGATGTCCCTCATTACTGAGAGACTAAAACGTTAACAAGTCGGCCTTCAAGATTTAGATGGCAATTTGTCATAATTATTCCTCCCTCCGTTCACAAATAGTATAAAACGTCCTAACTTTTTTGTGAATCAGATGTATGTAGACACGTTTTAGTATGTTTGTTCACTCATTTCAGTCCGCATGTAGTCCATACTGAAATATCCAAAACATCTTAATATTTGTGAACGTAGGGAGTACTAATTTTGTTGCGAAAATAGTTTTGTCAATTATGCTCGACTATGTGCTGTGAATTCCCCATGCTAGTGCTAGAGTTGATACGTACCAAACAAAATCGCGGCACGCATGAAACCCTGAAATCACCCAAATTGGGGAACTAACCAGATACATGGGGCATCAGAATTGGGAGAGGGAAGCTCACCTGAGAGGAACCTCCCTCCCTCGATTCGCGGACGGGAGCGAGCTGGGGTCGAGCGGAAGGCAGGGCGGGGCGGGACGGGATCGCGCGGTGGAGGACCCGCGGGGGCGGGAGGAGGACCGGCGGGCGGAGCGGGAGGGTGGAGCTCCGGCGGCGGGCGGAGGGGAAGTCCGAGCGAGCGAACGAAGCGGGGCGGCGTGCGTCGTTCTGAACGGACTGAAGAGAACAGAGGAGCGGGCTGTACAAACAATAGTCGGATGTCTGAGAGTAAATTACATGTACCGCAATTGAGACATTGATAGCAGATTAGTACCAAAATTGATAATTTTTATATGTCAGTACTAAGATTGGGGCGAGCCGTTGCAAAAAAGACTAAAAATGTGTTTTATACGTATTGACAGAAAAGCTGACCGGTTGGGCCCGTCCGTCAGGCGCCACGCTGACCAGTGCGCGCGTGCCCACGCGCTGACTAGGACGAGGCCGGCTCGCACCGTTTAGGTCTCGCTGGTGCGACTGAGCCAGACCCCGACCACGCTCTGCCCTCGCACCCTCGCCGGCGGCTGCCTCCCCCTCGCCGGCGGCTGCCTCCCCGCCCGCCCCGCCGCCCGCCACAACACGCCGCCGTAGCCTAGGCTCGA